CCTGCCCCCCCCCCGCCTCTCACAGGTGTCCTCTTTTTTGGACAAAGAAATATGGTCCTAAACCAGGGTTACCATCTCTCAGTTACGTTATCCACACTTCCCTTGTTTTAGCATTTTTGTTAATTACTCCAACAGAAAACAGAGGGAAATATCAAATGGGAACTTATGTGAAAAACCAGGGTCTAATGGCAACCAGAAATGACACATCAATTTTTTTTCATTATACAGTCTCATAAAACATGAAGTAGGATAGATGTCCTTGATAAAGTAATCAACCTAACAAATGGGCAAGCCACTTGTATGCTGTCTCAGTACCTCAGTCACCAGTAGTACAGTGACCTCTTATCTTTATAGCAAAGGAATAAAGCAATACACAAAAACCAGGAAATGCTACCTTGAAACATAAAGATAATATAGTACATATAAAAAGATATATTTTACAATAATGGCATTCTGTACTGTTGATATAAAGAAAAGGAAAGGAAATTATACAGGGAAGAAGTTGAAACAGCTGATTTTTCAAAGTAAAAGTTTCAAAAAATTAATCAAATGTGAATTGAAATTCTGTATCTAATATGTAACAATGCTGTTTTCAAACTTTAGTTTAAATCCCTCTTGCATATATTGAACAACAATTTATTCATATATAAAAATATTAATATACATGCACAGATAGCTAAAGCAACAGTAAATTTCCTCCAGTGATAAATTAAAAGTACCATAAACAAATGTAGACTACATTTGTGAACTGTGGCCTGTAGAGGTTATACCAAACTCTGATCATGCAGTTAATTACACACAGGCTGAACTTGACTTAATAACAATGACAGCACTTAAGGCCTTAACCAAACCCCAGTGAACCCAGTGGATTTCTTTCCATTGAGTTCAGTGGGTTTTAGAACAGGCTTATACAGCATTTTACATTCCAAACTCAAGCAAATATATGAAGAAGCTATATATAAACCAGGTATTCCACTGGAAGGAGGGAAAACATGATAGTTATTCAACATGCCATTTTTATGCTAGTGTATCCTTGCTGATTTATATTTTTTGTTCCTGAATATTACAGGTATGTGGGGTAGTTTGGAACAGTGGAGACAGTGAATAGTGCTTGTGAGTATGTGCCCTAACAGTGTAGAAGAAGCCTAGACAAACTGGCCATTCTGGAAGAATTATCCACTGCAGCCAGAATGAGTGTCAGCAACCAAATACCTAACTTTTTCCTTTTAAAAAGATGGTATTTTAACTAATTACTGTTGCTGTTGTTTTTATTCTTTTTCTGGACTTTTACCATCATTTTTTTACTTTCTTTCCTTCTGTCTATATTCAAAATACTAGCTAAACTCTCCAGTGAGTACTAAGTATTCTTACTTAAAACATAATGAGTCCCTGAAAAGGTACAACTTTCATTTTATTCAGTAGACAGCAAACCAATAACATAGTATAATTTTTTTAGGATTAAAGAAATGAAATCATAGACATCTATGAGTCAGCTGCAAAATCAAACCATTCAATGTACTGCTGTGTTTAATCTATATTAACAGCAATATCTATGAAACCCTGCAAGATAAGATAATAAAGAGTGCATACAAGATGCACTGCTATCCAACTTAAATAAACGTAACAGTGGTGCCTTAGAAGAATATTCAGTTCAACACCAAAACCAGCTGAAAAGCATTTTTCATAAATGTGTTCCTAATGTTTTTATAGCTCCAATTAATACTTTATATATAAAATACTTAGACATTCATTGG